TAATCAATAACTGTAAAATCTCTTGTGGAAAATATTATTAACTTTCGTAGTGTGAAAATCGTCTTGTCTCTCTCAATCCTAGTTCTTTTTCACAACAAACTGAGCTTACCGTAAGCAGACCCCCATCACCGGTTTTATCTGATTTATGACCTTACGAGGGATGTTTCGCATCTATAAGGAAACAACTAAAAGTACAAGCTGTAAAGTTAGGTCATTTTTAGAATTGATGTAAAAGATGAATAAATTTAATAAGACGATGTATTTACACCAGGTAATTCTATTTTTCATCAAAAATTAAGTCTAATTATTATGCAGAAATGTTAGGAATAACTTGAAGCCCTTTTTTTCTACTGGATACCTGCTATGTGTTTTTAATCCGTTGGGGGTAGCTACTGATATGATGAAGTTTACAAAAGTGGTATTGTCTTCATAACAAAATTTTTTTGCTGTCGTTGATGGAGATATGAACACCGATGAGTGCAAAAGTGATAGCTGACTGACGCATAGAAAATCGGTTAAAAATGACGAATTGCAGTGTTGTATGACACAAAAAAATTAAACATACAACTGCAGTTCAGGATTTACCGTTATCTTCTACGATGAAGAGCCTTAATCTGTGGTTTACTAAATTTTTTGAAGAATCTTTTTTTGGTTCTATAAAATTCAATTACTAAACATACAGGAAAAAGCTTTGCAAATCTGGCTGAACGCATTAAATAAATTTAGCAGCTTGTATATCTCTACTCCAAAATAAAAATTTCTTAAACATTAGTTTCTACAGATTTATGTATAATTTCTTTCCAGCCTTCTGGTGCAAAACAGTATTAAATTCTATCTTTGATAGTTAGGAAGTACGCATTTTTAAATGATATTAACTCTAACTTAACGTAACCGTATTTAAAATTTTCAATTCGATTTATCTCCTTCTTCTTGGATCTTCTTGGATAGGTTTTATTGTCACCTGAGGATGACCACTTTGTGGTTGAAACGCGTTGTGTTTTAAATAAAAGTTTGGTGTGACGGGCTAATCGTGTTTTTGTGTATCGATTTATTTCGTATTTGTGATTTTGTGACTTAGTACACTTTTATTCTAAGGTACAGATATACAGGGTGTTCCGTTTTTATTGTTACAAATTTAAACAGGTGATAGGATATTCAATTCTAAGACAAAAGTTTCCTCTAAACATGTATCGAAAAATGCTTGGTAAGGGAGCTACACCCCCTGAAATGGGGCTAATAGGTTTTTGCTAATATTTCAGGAACCATTTAAGATAAAATTACAAATTTTAATACAGATGATAACCTTTATACACCTAAACGAATTCGAACATCAAATGTTGAAATTTTTAACCAGGGGCGTCCGAAAATGGGGGGGGGGGTTAAGGTAAAAAAATACCCTATCTATTTTGGCTTTAGTTTCTTTAGTTATGCATTGACCAAAATGGTGGTCACTTTAGGTTTAGGCAAATTCAGTTCGTTAATGTTATTATCGTTACTGTAATGTAATGTTAATTTGTTGTGGTTGATTAAACAATATGAATTTCTTTATTTTATAATTCTGTAAATGCTGATTGATTTGAATGTTGTATTGGCGTGTAACATAAATTTTAAATTCATTTTATTCAAAAACATTAAGTCGTATCGACACAAGAGAGACTTTTCTGTGATAAACTATCGAACTTAAGATTTTGTTGCTGAAAGTACCGAGAAACTAAAGCTAAAATAAATAGGGTATTTTTTTTTACCTTACACTCCCTTAGTTTCGTACGCCCCTGATTAAAAATTTCGACATTTGATGTTTGAATTCGTTTAGGTGTATAAAGGTATAATCATCTGTACCAAATTTTGTAATTTTGTCTTAAATGGTTTCTGAAATATTAGCAAAAACATATTAGCCCCCTTCCAGGTGGTGTATCTCCCTTACCAAGTATTTTTCGATACAGGTTTATAGGAAACTTTTTTCTTAGAATTGAATATCCTATCACCTGTTTAAATTTGTAACAATAAAAACGGAACACCCTGTATGTTCAATACTACTCCAAAACATGTGTGGCATTCGTAAGGGGTTCTCAAGAAAACAATTTTTATCATTAGGGGTCCGCTAAGAGTAAAAGGTTAAGAACCACTGGCCTACACAATCTGAGTGCGTCAATATTTGGATATTGGTTTATTAAACGGACAGATTAACCGGGGGGGAAACATTAAATGACCAGCTTGTTTGCCAGATTTGACCTCTTATATAATGGAAGAGAAAAAATTGAATGGGGGGAGCGGTTTTCGTTTTGATTTTGACCTAGTTAGTTGTGATTTACGGTTGGTTTGTCTTGAGAAGACTTGCTCGGCGATGGTCGATGATTTTTGCCATCGTATAATTTCCATTGTGTCGATTTTGACAGAATGAAATGTGTAGGGTTTCCACCTACGCAATATGTCTCGCATAATTCCGACCCACGTCCCTCTGCGGACCCCCATTCAATTCTTATTTAACACGCGAGATAGCGCGACTTTTTCAGATATATATTGAGGAGTGACTGGCGAGATGAGGCCCGAGATCGCATTAGCATTGAATGCTGTGACGTCAGGAGGGCGAGCCGGGTCACTATTGTCCAAGAACACGACTCTCCTTCTTCTGGAGTCTCGACTCACGATTGCCGTGTCTCTGGATAATGTCAATCCGAGGGTCATCAAATCTTCGTTAGCTCGCTTCAGGAAGAGTCGCCCAATTCGGAACGACACACACAGCTCGAAGCTGTAATTAACAGTATTATTCATTACCGTTGATATAAACGCACGTACTGCTTCGTTTACACAGCATTTCGTCACCTTATCTCAGTGGTTGACACAATTTCGACATAATTAAGAGGCTAAGTGTATATTTGCTCGGGGGTATTATTAGATTAGGGCTCAGGTGAAGCGTCTAACACTCATTCGAAACAACAATAATATTGATTAAAAGACCTTTTTGACGCAAAATTTAAATAGGAAAGGTGCCAAAGTGCCACCCTGTGGCACACATTCAAACCCAGGAAGACAAAACCGATACTTGCTTACAAACAATTGTTTATTTACTCGATGATTGATCGTCGATTGACCAAAAGGAAAATATGTCTGAAAGGACATTGATGGCACCGGCTGCATTCACAATGCAATTAATTATACAGCGTCGATAGTTGCTTTTGACGTGTGACCCACGATGCTTGATGGAACCTCTGACATCGTCATCTTCAGCGAGTAACACCTCGCTTCATGGATGACGGACTAATAACACGGCCAATCCTCATAATTGCTTCGCAATGGATAACATCTCCTTATCGAAGGTCGAAGATACATCATTCGACTTATAACAGTATATTTTAGTAGCTTGATAAAAGTGTCAGCAAGCGCTCTTGTACTAAACACATTTGTCTTTTGATTTTTACAGTTAGTCAGTAAACAAAAACTTTGATTGCTTGATGTCTGTACATATGTTGCGGCAATTGGTCAACCACCTGAATGGATCGATTTTTAATTGATTTTCATTGTTGGTGTCTCCAGGGGTCACATTTATTTAAATTTTTCACAGTCACTAGCAACGGACCGTGTCAAGATTTTTTTATTATTCATTTATTCACAACTATAAGTTGGTAAATACATCAATTTAGCCGGCCTGCTTGAGCTATATCAACATTTTGTGGCATCGTATTTTTCTTTTGGAGAAAGTTACAAGGAGGTGTCGCTTCTTCAACTCGAGAAGGTAAACAAACAGCTTTTATACAGAATTATAATTTGTACGTGATAACGTTAAAATATTAAAATCATTGTGACGCTTACACTCAAATTTAAAAGACAGAATATTGTACTCAAGGTATTGATTCTATTCTTATCTATTTACAACTGCTACTAGTACAATGACTACCACTACTAGAGAAACTTTTCCGTTCCATTGTACAAGACTATTAAATAAGTTAAAATAAATATTTATGTGTTATACACGGTTTAACAAGCAATTAAAAGACGAAATTCACAAGCTCTCTTATTTTGTTTATATTCTTCAATAAAACAAAAACAATAGTGATTAAAAATTATAATGTTCTTTTTAAATTAAATTACGGTAAATAGGTAGCACTTGAAAAATGTTTTTTTTTAACTTTGAGCTTTTATTGTGAGATATGGTAAAAACAGGTAAACATTGTTGCTTATTTCAGTTTTTACTAGGGACTTATTCGATGCAAAGAATAATGTTGCAACAATGCAAAGGTAAACTATTTTCTTCAAATTAGAATTTTTGGCATAATATATTAAATGCATAAATCTGTTATATATGTAGTTAGTTATTCATATTCAACTTACTGAAAAAGCTTAAAAAGCGCTGCACACAAGTTAGTCAGAGAGACCACTTAATTTCCATGCATTTCAATACGATTTTAATAAATTTAAATAGTTATTGCATATTACATTAGGCTAAACAAACACAAAGTACTTGTATCGTACCTCTTAAACGTGCGTGTATAGTGGCAATTATAAAACAATTATTTATGGAGTACTTTCAGGTATTTTTATTAGTGTGGCCAGCTGTTAAACAGTTGGAATTAGTGATTCAAATATTTTTAAAAAGAAAATCCCAGTGAATCCGACTGGTTGTCGTTTCCCAGTTGTGAGTTTCCGCAGATCCACCCCTTGTGAACGTATCAGTGCGTCGCGACGCCTACACGTGGCGCCCCGCGCCGGTAGAAAGCGACACCACAATCCGCCCCCACCCCATTAGCTCGTACTTAAAAAGTCTGAAAAGTTAATTAATTATTTGAACAGTGTTGAATGCGCTCGAGCGCGCTTTTCTTATGAATGATAATGCGGAAAGTCTTTGCAAAGTGAACTTTTCTGCCAGTTGTTTCCGATTGGTGGATTAATTGGTCTTGTCTCTGGATAATCGCTGTTTGCTTTGGCGCATACAACTAGATAAAAATCGGAACCTGTCTGTTTTCTCACCTTATCTCAATATTTGTGAGTCGTTACCTAATCTCCACTAATGTAGGCGAAGACGTGCTGTTTGAGCACCGCTTCGTAGTGTTTTTTGCGCGAGCTTTCGCTCCGGAGCGCTCCGGTGTAACATCCGGAGAGCCAGCGGGCAAAGCCCCCACTCCGGGCGCGTATATGCGCAGCAGCATCCCTTCCTATGGGGTGAGCACGGCCGATGGCTAGTGAGTGGCCTGCCCGAGCCCGAACGATAAGAACCGACTCGCACCGACCCAGAAACGGCCGCTCTGTCGCCGAAAGCGTCCGCGAACACGACACACGCGCTCGGACCATTGGCCATTCAGCATCTCTGGTCCAGGACCGGACATGGGCGCCTCGACCCCACGAGTGACATGAAACGAGTTCGCTTGACAGTGCTCCAGGTGTAGTGATCCAGTGACAGTGATGAGACTCTGCCTCTGAGAGACTAACACCGCCAAGATGAGAATCAAGATGCCAGCAGTGCGTATAGCGCAAGGTGAGCTTTTCCGACTTTTCCGCGCGGAAAAAATCGCGCGCCACGTGAGCCGCGTTTTTAATTAGTTCGCGAGGGACGGTGGGTGGAGGGTGCTTGTCTGCCGGCTAATAACAAAAAGTTATTATAATGATTTTTGTCGACGAAGCTTGCGCAACTTTTTCTCGCACTTTGCTTATTCAGTCTTCTTCAGTTTTCCAGCGGGAGCGTTTCGGTACACCAAAAAATCGGTTTTGATTCGAGTGACTTGCTTTAATCTAATCTTAAAAAAATTCGGTACACGTCAATGGGAAAAAATCCGGAGCGGTTAGCCGTCGCTCCGGAGTCCGTCCGGACAATACGCCAATTACTGACCGTTGACCACCGTGCGAACAAGAAAGGGTTGACTTGAGCAACCCTTCCAAAAAAAACGACAGGTAGATGAGCGCGTGTTCGGGCTATTAAAAGAGGATCCACCGTGAATTAATATGTTAAGTGGCATTCGCGTGTCTTAGACCCCTGGCACACGAACGGCTCATTCTTTGCACGATTAAAAACTTTTTGTTTGCTTTCGGGCGAAATTTCAGTGTCCAAGGGGAGAGCGGTCATCCGTGAACCTTATCAAACGTTTGTAAGTGGTTTTGAAACAGTTATTTCATAATCGCGCTATTTCCGGTTCCTTGTCGTTCTAATAACGCGCATTAATTACAAAAAACGCCCATTTAACACCCCCACTTAAGAGGGCAGTAGTACGATATTTAACACTACTTTGTATGCACACCTGGTTATGCCAATATTGATATAACATTAGCATCTCACCTTTGGTAGTGTTTGTACGATGGGCTTTTTGTCACTAATTGACCAACAAATTGTTTGAGTTTTACTTGAATAAACACCGGCAAAAAGTTTTACTTGACTTAATAAAGCGGTCCCCAACTGACGGATCGTTCAAATCGCCCGATTTTTAAATTTATTGTCGATGTTAAGTGTCGGCGTGAAATTTCTAAAGACAATCTATGCACAGTGAGTAATTTTATAGTCCGACATAAAACATGTTAGTGTCAATTAATTACAATCAATTCTGTGAGTGGTCCACTATTGACAGTGGCTAAAAACGCCATCAAAACCGCTGTTGACAAATTTTATGGGGGCGACCACCCAAAGCTCCCACTTGGCCTGAAATAGAGACCGCTCGGACTCTTAAATCGCTTCAGCAAAGTCTAATTTTGGAAAATTTGTTCCCGAATGACGCGCACATAAATGGGAATTTTAATTTATGAACCAGTAGCTAAAAGGTTAAGAGTGTTAAACACATTTAGTTTAAGAATAATGATCGGCTGTATTTTCATATTTTACTTAAATAGACTTGAACCCGCTCTATACCGACGGAGGAATTTACAAACGCAATTAGGAAAATTAATTATTGCACTAACGGTTCTATTTTACCCAGCGTGTGTTCGTATATATGGCTGAAATTATCGATAATAAAATTAATTTTTCACATTCTTATAAAGATACGACACTAAAAGCACCCGTTATGCTTCGCGAGGAAGTTAAAGCGTCTAAATAAACATTTATTTGTAAACGATGTGCGAAAAACAAAAATGTTTTCTATTCATTTAATTTAATGCTTTTACTACAACATTCCATAGTCTACGCTGGTGATTTGCAGTGATAACACGGCGCTCAAAAATCATACATAACTTTTAATTTTTTCAATTTTAATTTAATCAATTATATTTTAGTTTTTATATTTGTTTATTATTTATTTCTTGTTGAAATAAGTATCTATAAGATTTTAAACACCTACCATTGAAAAGCACAAAACTAAATTCATAAAACCAATATTTGTTTTTGGTTATCTGAAAACTTCCTGTAAGAGCTTTTGTTCTTGCTACAAAAAAAAAAAAATGCAGGAAAAAAATTGGCCAGTTTCTCGTTCGTAAACCTGAACCGGGAAACGTTATTTGGTGCTCCGGTGGCCAGGCATTTATTTTTTTGCGTGGCTTCATTCTAAGAAACAGTTTCTAAAGCTGGTGAAATTTTCTAGTCCGTCGCTGTTTCCTGCTGGCTGATAGCTTTAATAGTCTTTTCGTTTTGCGACCGCAAATAGGCGTGCTGCACACTTGACCACGAGTCAACTCAGTGGCTGCACTCAACTTTATCTCTCAAAATACCGAGAATTATCCCATAACCACTCTTTATTTGTTTAGTACTATAAGTTTAATATGTTTCTTGACGCCCCAAGTGCAATTTCCTTCGATAAAACTGACGCAAAAATGCTTAATTATCAGGGATCGTCGATCCTTATTGAAGCTGACTTATGGACACGATTGCTGCTACAACCGTCCAGATTTCACACCAACGCGGAAAACGATTCGAGAATTATGGTAATGGCATTGATAAGTAGCCAACCGTTAGGACTGAAGAGGTGAATTTGTGTTTAAGCCAGAGTTTTTAATTGTTTTTTGGGATATCTTTGTGGGTTTGTTTGTGGCAGGAAGAGCATCATCCGGTTTGTTTGGTCAGCTTCTTTGATAAGACTTCTTAGCGGTGTGGCTTGTAAATGATTTTGCGTGTGTTGATGGTCGCTCCTTCATGTCCTTGTTGCGTTTTTCATTGTTTCTCGGGCGATAAATCCGCGAAACCGCAACGATAAATATCGAGTCATGGCTTCATGCTGGCCAAGCGACCCTCTGACATTTGCAATATTCTTAAGGTTAGCTTCGACCGGCTGAACTCTTCGACGCAGGTGGCGTAAAATCGGCGTTAACCACTGGACGCGTTTTTTCCCGTTTCCTCCTGCTATTTACGGCGACCTCCGGGTCGGAGTCCAAGAAGAAAATCGCTCTTCCGGACTGTTTCGCTCCGGTGGTTGTCGTACTTCTAAGCGTAGCTCCGTTGACGCCGAGAGAACGCTTTGTCCAGTTATGTGACGAACTATCAGGATGTCACAAATGTCAAGCAATGTTGCGCAAGAAATTGCCGCTTAATTACCGCAGCTGGAACGGCCCTGGAGAGCTTTCTAATTTCGGGGCTCTCCACGCGGAAACGCGATTTTCTACTCACGATCGGTGCCGATATGTAAGATAATTAAAAAATTACAACAATGACATGAAGAACCTTGCGTCATTGTTATACAAGGAAGTGCACGAAAAAACTGATTTATGCTCTGGATCACATTTTGACGATGAGCAAACAATTATTTTGTCTCAAATGAAGATAATTCTTGGCCTACATTCTACATTGTCCACAGCTCGAGTCACTTTTAATTTTTATTTCATGTTACAAGTAGGTACACGGGATTTTTATTGCTAAATTTTTTTGGCTACAGCTAATCCCGTTTGGTGCTGGCAAAGGTCAGCTTGATGGACACAAATGTCAAATACTATTCATATATGTCCCATTAAATTAACAGCCTTATCTTGACATTTCTTCAAGATTGCATTCCTCAGATAATTTTCTTGTTAATGATGTGTTACCAAAATTTGTAGCTTTTTTTCGTTTAAACTTTTGGTAAATTTTTTTTTTAATTAAATGAATTTCTTTTATAAATATCAAAATTTCTAATATAACAATAAAAATGATAAAAAAAGATAATGGAAGAAAGTCTAACTTTCTTTTGGCTTCAATGAGCAGTACAATTGAATTTCAAATAAACCTAATTGTCCTATTATCTAAAAAAATGTAATGTTTTTGCTAATAGTTTGTGAGAAATAAAATAAATGCACAAAATTTAGTCGCTTCTTTTTGAAGCTTTTTGTGAGCTTTGAGAGAGATAAAATAAATGTGACTAGGTATAATGAAAACAAACATCAAATAAATAACAATACATTTTTCTAATTCCAATTAATGTCACTTTTCAAAACTTAAATACATATCGAAAGTTTTTGCAATATATAGTCACCAATAAAACGACCAGTGCTAAAATTCTTTTTTTTTGCTTGTGTAATAATTGAGGAATCTTGGAAATTTGCCAAAAAAACTAGAAAAAATATATTAAAATAATTTAAATTTAAAAGGTTCACTTGGTACTTGCAGAAACTTAAAACTTAAGAATGGTTTCAATTTTATAAGAGCTTTCGGGGATACTGTTTTAATAAAATAACGAAATTGGGTAAAGAAAAGGCTTTATTTACGTAAAAACTGCATTTATTGTAAAGTATCTTTTCGTGTTTGTTAAAATTAAAGTCTACAAATACACATGTATGTAGGTACTATTGAATTACATAAATCTTATTAATAGTACTACAAAGTATCGTCTATTTACAGGCGGTAAAAACTTTTAACTAACATGCTCACACAATTTATCACTTGTGACTTAACACGGCTTATCCAACTTGCTGATCCATCTATTATATTAACAACAAATGAAAATTTTCATATTAATTCATGACTATTTGCAATATATTTTTTGTTATTACAGCTTTCACTTTAAGCTCTCGCAAATTACTTGATATTCATTCTCGTCGGTATCTTTTGAAGAACTTATTTCAATGAGTTCTGCCTTCAGAAAGTGTACAACCAAACAAAATCTTTATGACTGGCAATTATATAATCTTTTTGTTGGTAGCTTCTTGCCTACAATAAAATCTTCGGTAATCGTTGGGTTAGTTGATTTGACATTTTTATGTAATGTTTGTGCGTGTATTTTATGAGTGGGAAAAATGCAAGTTTGTTTGTCTACTGGGTGTATGAAGTAGGAGCCGAAGTGCAAGAATGTCGAGTGCGAAACCGGCCATAAACTCAAACCTGGTATTTTCCTCTACCATAATTCGCTTGCATGGTGTTGTTTATTGGCAAATATAACGTCTCCGCTATTTAGACCCTCAACAATAAAGCGGATGCTGGATGCATTCGAATTAGCATTAAAATATTTCGCGTAACCTGTTTATTTTTGCAGGGAACCGCCTTACGTAAGAGCTTTTACGGCCCCATTAAAAAAGCTGTACTGACCAGCCTTACGGATTCACGTTTCCTGCTTTTATTAATGCATAAATCGCATTTTATTATAATGTCATGTC